AGGAGCTCAACAAACTGCTTGGCGGAGTTACCATCGCTCAGGGCGGTGTTCTTCCTAACATCCAGGCTGTGTTGCTGCCCAAGAAAACCGAGAAACCAGCAAAGAAGTAAAAATGCAGGCTCTCTGAAACAAACCAACGGCTCTTTTAAGAGCCACCCAAATCTCACTAATGAGCGGGATTTACCGTTATAATATATCCATGTGTATTCTGTGGGCCATCAGATGGGTAGTAGACATATAGAGATGGAAATGTCCAGGTTATAAAATGTAATGCCAAGTCATTCTAAGAACACAAAATGAAACGTCAGCATACATCCCCTACATAACATAACTTCCAGTAAGATTTGATTAAAGAACAAGAACAACGTTCTTTTGTAGCAAAGCGCTACATACATAAATTCAGGTTTGTTAAATACACTCATTTTCAATGGGTGTTTGACAAAGAAAAATGTGTATTGATGTCCTATTGATTTCCTTAGGTTCATAAATATATATATTGTAGTGAAGAAGATGCTGTTATAGATCATTTTACAAGAGTTGAAGTCGTTTCACTTCTAATTGTTCAATTTAAAAGAATCTCAACATGTGGAAACTTAATTTACAAGACAACGTACATTCCAAACACCTAATAAAAATGACGTATAAAGTTGGAACTAATCTACACTCCCTACATGAAGCTGAGTATATTTACTGAAACTGACGAGACATCTAACATATTAAGTGATTGGAAACTCCATATGAGCTAAAAGCTTTTATATGAACTGCAGCTGCTTTATAAATCAGTTTTTAGTATTCGCTTTGATCCTATATCAGCTGGAATTTATTCATCAAGCGTCTCTCAATATTCAAACTTATATCTTAAAAGCAGAAATCTGGTTACAAGCTTAGAGGCGGGAAAAAGAGGGTTGCTTGTCCTCACTTAGGTCCGTAGGGTGTATTTATATCTAGCTCCTCAGCGATATAGCGCTATTCTCTCTGTCAGTTAGACAACGTCAACATGAGCGGCCGAGGCAAAGGAGGAAAAGGACTTGGAAAAGGAGGCGCTAAGCGTCATCGCAAAGTC